CCTAGACAATTCTAGAGCATTGGAAGACGCACTTAATGGGTTGCGAAGTTTGGGTCTCTCTACCTTGAGCTTGCGGACAAGCTCAAGTTCGAGGGAGGAAGGTTCAATATCCTCTTCTTATACGCTTGTTAATGCATCTGTAACACATTCTCTTGGACAAGAACTCAAAATAAACTTGCCTTAAAGTGTACTAGTTATAATAGATTAAGAAGTGTGTAATCTGACTCAAAAGAACTCACACTTGCATTTGCAAATTGAGTGTTTTATTTAGGAGAAAGAATATTTTTTAAAAAACAATACACAATTTGTTATTGTCCATTTCTATTCAAGATGGAAAATTATTCTGAGTGTGCTACTCTTACCAAACCATATGGCATGGACATGCGTCCAAAGGGAAAGGTCTTATTTCTTTTTTCCTTTTCTGGGAGTCCCATAAAAACTCAATGGTGAGCTTTTTTCTATATTGAATTTGATGGATCAATATAATGCAGACGATGTTTGGTTTTTGAGACAACAACTTCATGAACATTTAACCACAAGGGACGCTGATATTAATGCATCCTCCCATAAGGAATGGACAAGTGCCAATTATCCATTGGCATCACTCATATGGCAGTCCAACGACTCAAAATTCAAGTTTCATGTTTGTCCATAAAAAATGTTGGTATGATCTTTGGAGAAAAACAAAATGTATATTCTAATGATCTTCAATGTTTTCACACTACTGTTTGCAATTTTGTTACTTTCCAAATAACAGATTGAACAAAGCAAGAATGATCATTTCGTGTTCCTTAACGCTTGGCATCTCATAGTTCTCTTTAAATAATTTATGTGGTACTGTGGTAGATATTGTTATCGCAGCTAATGACTCTAAAGGACTGTTAGTCTCAAACATCATTCGTCTTATCATTTTAAGATAAAGGATCTAGGGAGATTAAAGTACTTTCTAACAATTGACGTTGCTCAGTGCAACACATGTGTTTCCATATGCCAGCAAAAGTATAACTCAACATATTGGAAGAATCTGAATTGAGGCAAACAAACAGACTCTCATGGTCGTTATGGATCCAATTGTAAATCTTTTCCATTTCTTATCCAAGTTGATATCAAAGAAGCTTGAGCAAAAATAATTATCACGTGGCGTTTCTATTTCTATTCCAATTTGAAGGGACAAAAAATCAAGGGTAAAATGCCAAAGCAAAAAAGAAATAGTGAATGTGGACCTAAGGAATCAATTCTGTAGCATTTCTATGTTGGCTGCAATAACGCATCAAGGGTTAAGAGAAAACAAAATCCAGCATATACCATACCAAAATAGGATCTAGGGTTTACATTTGGAGTAGGAAATACAGATGTGTTTACAGGAAAATGCATTTAAGTGTAAATAGAAAAAAACTCATATCAAGAGCAAAAGTATAAAGAAAAGTTCCCTTCTCCCAAGATTCAAACAACAGAATGCATCCGGTGCAACAAGATAAGATTAGAGAATCTGAACTTACAAAAATTTGCTGCTCTACATGATCCTCACTTTCATTCAGTTGAAGCAACACAAACAAGACGAAACCTGCGATAGAGAATATTCCGAGCAGCGTCCAGATCCAACAAGAAAAACTCCTCCGAACCGGGCGCCGGTAATCGGCCGCCCGCCGCCGCATTATTCACCACCGACCACTACCACAGCTCACCTCAAGCTAAATTCCGCCGTCCCAGATTGAATCCAGACCAAACTCAAAAAAAATCCAAATGGCACTGCTCTTTCTTCAGAGAATTCGAAGAAAGCTCGTCTACTCACATCCAAAGCAAGTACCCACTCAGATTTAGATCTTCTTGGGTATAGATATCTGGAATACGATTTCCCGGCTGCCCAAAGAGAGAGCTTTGCCTAGGCAATGGAGGAGCGAAAATTTAAATAAAATGACAAAGAATGGCGTCTTTAGAACACCTCCAAATAGAAGTCTCTATTCCTCTCATTTGAAAATGATATGCTCATTAGCAAAAGCAAGAAATGATAATAGAGCAAGGTACACCAAAAGTGTATCCCATTTATACACCACTCCCTTCTTCACCACCCATTTTTAATTAATTTTTATTTATTTTTTTTATTGATTTTCTTGCCCAATTATGTGGACAAGGAGGGGGCGGGGGACAAAGGTGTACCCCTAGCATTTTTCATGATAATAAGGCTTCATTTCGTTTAATTTATTTTTTCTGATCTCATCTGATCTTTTTGTAGTATTAATCTGATCTGATTGAATTTGATTTGAACTGATCTGATTAGATCTGATCTGATCTGATTGGATCTGATTTGATTGAATCTGATCTGATTAATTATGATTTGATTTAAAATTCAAATCAATAATTTGATCTCACTTTATAATAACTTATGAAAATTGTAAGGATAATTCATATTAAAATATGATTAATATTTTTTATTTTATGATTATTTTTTAATAAAATAAAATTAGTTGATTCATATATTGGAATAATCATTCATATTATAATGTAATAATATTTTTTTATTTTATGATTATTTTTTTATGTAATCAGAATATTGATTTAATATTTTAATGATTAGTTCATATATACATTAGAATAAATTTTTAATTCATATATACATTAAAAAGTAATTAAATTTAGATAATCAATATAAAGAAGAGATAATATTTTTTATTAAAATATCTCATCCTTATAAAATATCAATGTTAAGCAAAGAAATAATACGTTTTTCTGCATCTTGTATAATACTCCCTCCGTCCATAATTAAAGTTCTCATTTTTCTTTTTTGGATGTCCACAATTAAAGTTCCCATTTCTACTTTAGGAAAGAAAATTAATGTAAAAAGTCTTCTATACCCCTCTCACATCACTCACCTTACATACCTCACTACCTATATCCACTACCCACCCTAATCAATTCAACCCCCACATTTACCCCACCCACTCCGTCGTTATCTCTTACTCGCTTCGTTTTCTCCACCTATCTCATTCATTGTCTCTCTCATTCATCATCTCCCAAATCCAGATCTTGGATCTTTGCTCTTCATCCCAATCGCCTACTCTTTGAAATCGATCTAGGGTTTCTCTGTTACTCTCTCCTAAATCCAAATCCGTATGGAATCTGAAAATTATTCTTGCGTTTCCATAGTTTCAGAGACTCCAAATGTTCATGGCGAACAAGAGATCGAGTAACTTCCCCCAAATGTTCTTGGCGATGATTGTGAGATGGTGGCAGCCGTGGTACCTGATTCTGAGGATGAGGATGAAGCATCTGATGCTTCGATGGTCCCAAGCTCTGGCTTCGTGTGTATTCGAAACCATGCATGTGACAGCTTTCTAAAGCTTATGTTCCCATGGTGGGATTCACCCAAGTACACTTCTCTTTTTATAATTTTCTGCTTGTCTTACGATGTGTGAGTGTTCTAAGCATGCTGTGATGAGTTTACTCATTTGTGGTGTTCAATTATGCACTTCTCCAGTACCCTTCGTATGTGTGTGCACCAGTGTAGTGTGTATTTGTGTATATACTACTCTGTCCCTACCTCTGAGAATGTTGTGATGATGTTCCAGAGCATACAATGATGAGGTGCTTGATTTCGTATCTTAAATTCCGCACTTATGCAGTTTGTGTGTGCACTAATCTCCTTTAGCCCTTTGTATGCTGTGATGAGGTTTCTGTGTTAAGTTCTGGATGTGCTTAACCATTCCTCAATGTGTGTGTGCACTGTGGTTTGTGTGTGTTTCTGAGCATACAGTAATGAGGTTCCTGATTTCTTATCTTAAATTGTGCACCTATGATGTTTGTGTGTGTGCACTAATCTCCTTTACCCCTGAGCATAATGTGATGAGATTTTTGTGTCAAGTTCTGGATGTGCTCAACCATTCATCAATGTTTGTGTGCACTGTGTTTGTGTGCGTACATTAATCTCCTTTATCCCTGAGCATTCTGTGATGATGTTTCTGTGTTAAGTTGTGGGTGTGCTCAACCATTCATAAATGTGTGTGTGCACTGTGTTTCTGTCATACCATTCCATTACCCTGATCATGCTGTGATGAGGTTTCTACTTCATGAGTGTTACATTTTTCACTGTTGTAACTTAGTTATGTGTGTGCACCATTGTAGTGTGTGTGCGCATTGTGTGCACCACTTCGTATATTTTTTCAAGAGAAATTAAATTTTATTTTCTGAAAAAATCGTATCAAGTGAAACAAGTAAAAAGTATGAATTTTATAATAATAATAATAATAATAATAATAATAATAATAATAATAATAATAATAATAATTCTTGATTAGATTTGATCTGGTCTGATATGATTGGATATGATCTGATTGGATCCGATCTGATTAGATCTGATCTGATCTGATTTTAATAAAAATAAGAAAAAAGCAGAAAAAATAAATTGAATAGAACATGGCCTTACTTCTCCCAGCATAATATCCTCATAGTCAATTGACTTTCCTTAATTACATGCACCATTCACTCATACCATAACTACCTCGACCCATCACTCCCTACCAAATTACTCTCATCATTCACTCACCTACCATATTTTTGTCTCCATAACTACTCCATCATCTCTCACTATAAAAGGAATCCTTCACTGATAAGTCGTCAAATCTCATATTTTATTCGCCCATATTAGGCCTTTTTGGTATATTCCAAATGCATTTTATACAAATTTAATCACTATTATGTTTATACAGCAATTTTGGCCAATATTTATATTTTGATCATAAATTGCATTCTTTTGAGTATTCTTTTACTCCACTATTTTTATTATCCCATTTACCTTGATGTAGGTCTTAAAAGTCGTTTTGCGTAGCATAAAAAGTTCGGTGAAGATGTCAAGTTTGGATCCCGGGGCTGTCAAGAATTGGACAAAGAGAAGTTAATGGGCCAAGCCACTAGGGACTTGACCCAATCGGCTATATGCAGCCCAGTCCAGCAGCTGCCCAAAACAGCAGCGGAAGAATTCAACTGAGGATGTTTAGCGCAAAGGGGATTCCAACTTTGATACAGCGACAACAGCGTACGAAGCTGGGACTCAGATTTTGAGTCCTAATCCGAGAAGATCTCAAGCGCAACAAATAGGAGGACCCCGATGCAATATAGAATCCTAATTCAAGACGGGAAACAAAAATCCAGCCCCTATAAGTGCAGCAGCGAGCAGCGAAGGACGGAGGAGAATAGCAACAGAGAAACGGACGCAGCCCAGCTCTCGACCAGAGTTCTTCTTCCTGCGCCAATTCTGGGTTCTACCTCTCAATTATGATTTCTTGTTCTAGAATTATGATTGGCTAGACTCTTAATTTCCAATTCCAAGTTAATACTCTATGATTTGATTTGTGAGATTTTATGCTTAATGCTTTATTTGTCGTGATATTCTATGTTTTTTATGAGATACTTTTTATTGAATTCATCAGTTTGATTAATTTGGATGCATACTCTTTAATTAATCTTGTGAGTTTATTGCTAATTGGATTCTTCGTTGTTTGATTGAGAATTCATTCTAGTAGCAATAATGTTTTTTTAAGGAAAATATAGATGCAAATTGAATATTTTTCCGTTTGGAAGAATGTTGTTTGGGTTGGCTAAGAATTCACTTAACTTTATGCAATTGAACCTTGAATCCTAGGCGTTCGTTATAGGGTTGGGCTGTCTTTTAGACTCTCAATTAGGCTTAATTGGTGGTGTTTGTCACTTTTAAGTATTTTAGGTGAATTAGGGATTATTGTGCGTTTGCAAATAATCTACGCTAACTATCTTGATAAATAAATATCTTTTGTGTCAATGATCAAATCAAATTCATGAGTTAATACTTGGGATTGGAAACCTTCTGATCAAATTCTTTTAAACTCCTATTAGTTGCTCGGGTTACTTTTAGAATTTATTCTCTAGTTTTTTTACAAAATTTTATTTAGATTTAAATCAACTTCAAGAAAAGAATATCTACGAATTAGTAGTTAACTCTTGCCTCTCTGTGGGATCGACCTGAACTTACCATATCTACGGGTTAGTTTAGTTTTATAATTTGGTGTTAAAACGACATTCACCATTCACCTTCAGTATGTGGGGACCAATTTCCATACTTTCTCAGAACAAAAATTATTTTATCAAAATTTAGTTCATTACGGTTCTACCGAATGAACACCCTGCCATATAATTTGCAAAAAGCTTTTTGTTTATTACGTATTTTTATCAGAATCAAATAAATAAAAAATAACTTTGAATATAAGTAAAATAAATGTCATATCATATCCTCTTGGAAAACTTAGTCGATGAACCAATTACTCCCTCCCGTTTTGAAAATAATTTTGCTTTAATAATTTTTTAGCGTATCCCAAAAAATATCTTTGCTTCCACTTAAAATGTCTAAAATACATCATATTATGTATTCCGTAGTTTATTATGGGTAGAAGTTGTTTTGAGAATTTATCTAAATATGACTAAAATACAATGACTTTCTCTATATAGGACCATATATTTTTATTTCACAATGTAGGACCATTGGTCATTATCTATTAGTCGTTACTCAAGTAAATGTCCACAATCTTTAATTTGGACATTATTTCTCGTATTTGACGTTATGAAGTTCTATTTAGGAAATAAAGAAATTTAATTACTACGTTGGAAAATGAATTATATTTTAATCCTTTTTAGTACAAAGTTTTTGAGTTGTTTTAAAGTTATTTTAAATATTTTAGATAATGTAAAAGCTTACATAATTTGAACAAGCTCTCTCCCGGAAGATATGATATGACACATTGACACATGGTCAGAGTTTGAAGGCGCTAATTTTTTTTCTTTAGAGGAATCGGCGATTTGTTCCGCTCCCGGGCTCCGCCGCTCCGCATGCCGTCCTTTGCCACCATCGGTAATTATTTCGCAATACCTTTAAACCTGTATAATCTACACCAGATATGCGTGTTCTTTGAACAAGAATACAAATGGTTTAGACTCGAAGTTTTTGTAAAGCGCCCAATTTAATCGAGAAATCAATCTGCATTATTTGACTAGTTTTCTGCTTTTAAAGGTCCTCTTAATAGGTATAATCGGGTCTGTTTTCTAATAGAAATAAAGACCTAACTCTTAAACTCTATATAATTATATTCCTTACGAAGTAGAAGTATAGGCAGTTTATAGTGCTGACATTTGTACACAATTCAAGAAAGGGAGGAAAAGTGGTGTTTGAATCCAGCACTGCAAAATCATCATCATCTTAGTCCCAACAATGGCGGGCAGGTGACATGTAATTTAGTGTCAATCCATTGATAAGAAATGCCTGTAAATTCTATGAACTATTATGTAAAGTGTAGGGAAAAAGTGCTACCATGGATGTGGGATGCCCATCTTCCGGAAACCTTCTCACAGAGTAATTATGAAATATTTAATTCCAAAACCTCGATCATAATTCCAAAACCTTTATGGGACATCAATGTATTGAGATTAGTATATATACCGTGTCTCATTACAAGATTGGTGTTCTAAAATCAACAAGCACATCATGGGAGTGATGGGACATTTTTATTCTTTGAATCCATTGATGCAACAACGACATTTTTCTGAAAGGTTGGATTCAAGGCTTGAGATTTGTTGAAAAATTACTGGAAAATCAGTACCATTGATAATTGTTGCAGAATTCTTCTGCATGGACCCATTCATGTATGACACTGTATTCTTTGTTATAAATCTATAGGACTAAAAATGAGTTGAATACGGAGTACTATTTAAGGGCCAAGAAAATGGAAAATGAATTTACCTAGAGAGTACTAACATGTAATGAGTATATAGGGAAAGAGACTATGTTAAACTTCACATGAAAAGGTAAGAAAACAAACTAGTGAAAGTGAGAGGGAAGGTGGAATGTCGCAAGATAGAGTGAAAGGGGTGCTGATCCACAAAGCTACATATTGGAAGCAATCTCTGAGCTTAGTTATACTAATATTCCTGTTGATGAGTCATTGTTTGGAATGTTAACACCTGTAGTGTGCATTTTAGTTTTCACTTAAAATTCAATTTTGATTTTTGACTGTCTTTAATTGTTTCTCTACCTGAGCTGATCCTTCTAAGATTAAATTTGAAGTTTTTGGTTCTTTATCTTTAAGTTTTCAACTCAGTTCTGAGACATTCCTGAGGTGGGAAAGGCATCCCATCATAGTCGTGTCTACAAATACTTTGGAAGTTGTTTATCTGAATACACAATGTTTATACAGATTACCTTTTAGAAGCAAGCTCTGAGACTGGTTAAGTGGTTGTAGTAGTATTCCTTTCGGCGAGGCCTTGTTTTAGTTTTCACTTGAAAATCATGTTTGACTGTCTGTAAATTGTAATTGCCTCTGACTCTCTGTACCCTGAGCTGATTTTTTTTTTTGAAAGTTAAAATGGTTAATTTAAGGTTTGCATTTTACAGGGGTAAAGAGGGCAACGGTGGGTGATGATGGAAGCTCAATCAGAAAAGTTTTCTGTCAATTTTTTGATGGGAGGAGGAGCAGCCATGTTATCAAAAAGTGCTGCAGCACCTATTGAAAGAGTTAAACTCTTACTGCAGAATCAAGGAGAGTTGATAAAAAGAGGACACTTAAAAAGACCATACTTGGGTATTGGTGACTGCTTCCATAGAGTTTTGAGAGAGGATGGTTTTGTGTCCCTCTGGAGGGGTAACCAGGCCAATGTCATACGATACATCCCAACTCAGGTAGCCTTTCACGTCTTTTAATCATATATCTACACTGGGCAATTTTTTAAACCACCTTAATCACTCTTTTTTTTTAAAATTCAAAACCAACGCAAGAAAGTTTTTTTTAGTTAGTTTGTTGAATAATTCTGGAGTGACATATTTTTTTGACATTCAAGTGGCATTCTCATGTGACCCTCTTTTTTTGGCTTTAAATTTTTGAGTTGAGCCCAGTATTTTAATGCCTAGTGTGAGTAATGTAAGTGTGTAATGAGAATGTCACTTGCGGTTGCGTATGTCAATTGAAAAGGTCTTGTAAGAATTACTCTTTAATTTTTAATTGTGACGGTGGATTGAGTTTTATTTGGTAGCTGTAATTAGTTCATAGCTTTTCAGTCACTTGGCTTCAAATGGATGCTGCTAAACAAATTTTCTTTCAGACTTTTAGATTATAGCCGGAAAGCTTAAAGCTATTCAACCTGTTGTAAAGAATTCACAGTTGGAAACAAAACTTAGGACCAAGACTTTTTCCATGACTTAGCATGCTTTACAGTTTATGCCTTTATATTTTTTCCAGTATGCAATATATGAGAATACATTTCAAAAGGAGAATGCAAAGTCAGGTAGAATCAGTTCTCATTCTGCTCAACAGATTGTGATTCTGAGAAGTAATTTACTAGATTTTCCCGAATCAACTAATTCTTAAATAGCTGATTTCAACGGATTTTGAGAAACCAAATTAGCCAAAAGGCAAATGCAAACCAAATGAACCCATAATATATGTGCAATGGCACCGGCTGTAGTTCCTGATATTACATATTTTGCTCTTCAAAGGCTTGCAACTTTGCATTCAAGGATTACTTCAAAAGTCTCTTTGGGTGTACAAAAGAAAAAGATGGGTATGCAAAGTGGTTTGCTGGAAATCTAGCCTCAGGAAGTGCTGCTGGAGCAGCCACCTCATTATTTCTTTATCATTTGGACTATGCACGAACTCGGCTTGGAACTGATGCAAAGGAATGCCCCATTAATGGAAAACGCCAATACAAAGGATTGGTAGATGTTTATGCTAAAACAATGTCAAGTGATGGCATCATTGGGCTCTACCGAGGATTTGGTGTTTCATTGATAGGAATAACTCTGTATCGAGGCATGTACTTTGGAATCTATGACACCCTAAAACCGGTTGTTTTATTTGGAACCTTGCAGGTGATAACATCCACTAGTTCATGGAACATTTCTTTACTTGATTAATATGTCATCTTCTTCTTTTTGTGCTAGCTAACATTAGGTGTTGATAATATCATACATGTAAAGGTGTTGATAATATCATACACGTTGAAGTTCAATAATTGTTTAGAACGTTATAGGGATTATGTGTTTAATGATCGTAAAGAATACTCTATTTAGTAGTCCTCCCACTCCTCCCATAAGCAAACCAACCCTTTCTCTGTCATGTGTCACCTCTTTGTCCTAGAAGATTTGCTTCTGCAAAAGTGGGGAATAGATTTTCCTAGGTATTTATTGGTATTTAATCCACACCGAGAGGGTAGAAAAACTGGGTGTAGTTTGACAAAAATGTCCTCGACTCCTCGTGGGTTTTGAGCATAGATTTTTTTTCATCCTTAAGTATGGTCATTGTGGTGTTTGTGCAACTTCTTCCATTATTATTCCAAGCCAAACCATTCAAAGGAATGAGTACTCACAATGGTTTTGTTCCCACTAACGTAACAATGAGATATAAAGTTCCCCGTACCGTCTTTTCGCAAGTAATAAACACTCATTGGAGTCATTGCTAAAGAAGAGTTAGGATGAGAACCAGTGCTGAACAACCCCCTAGACCTCTTCTCTCACATAAGACAGCAGAAGTAGAAATATCTTTCTTTTTACTAATAAACTGATATTGCATTTTCAGGACAATTTCTTTGCAAGTTTCATGCTGGGCTGGGGTGTGACCACTATTTCTGGGATCTGCGCCTACCCTTTTGATACACTGCGGAGAAGAATGATGCTAACTTCTGGACAGAAACTGAAGTATCGTAATGCCATTCATGCACTAAGAGAAATTGTTCGCCTTGAAGGACTTGCAACACTTTTCCGAGGAGTTACAGCAAACGTACTGTATGGAGTTGCAGGTGCTGGAGTACTTGCAGGATATGATAAGCTGCACCAAATTGTATATAGACATGGCTATAGCTTTGACTCTCAAAGTGCTTTTTAATAAATTATCCATACTTGCAAAAATTCTTGTAAAGGAAACAAATTCTTATAAAGAGATTGAAATTCCATTACTCTGAACCAAGTAGAATCAATGGGGAAAACCAATTTCAGAAGATGATTTTGTAGCATCATTGAATTTGCTAGTACAGAAGGAGAGTTGTTATTGCTGACAATAAGGCACATTTCTGTTGGGATTTAAGGAAGAAGAGGGATAAAAGTGTTGTTTCTTAGCTTATGTGTACTTACCATAATAGGTAAAATGTGAATAGTAGCAACTATTTTTATGTATTGATTCATTTTTTGTATGCGACAAACTTGTTTCTGCCTGTTTCTGTGGAAAGCTCCAATAGGGAGAAAACATTTATTTTAATTTGTACATCTAAGAAACTACCCTAGTTTTTTCAAGACAAAAGAAGCTACATAGATAATTGATTCTGACATGTTTTTGAAAACAAGGTAACCATATATCTCCCGTGCAGCGGCGTCGCATCTAGGCCAGCAAGAATCCGGATGCCGACTAAAGTGACATGACAGAAGTGTTTGTTTTTTTTGACTACGCCAACAGCCAGAAGTTCTTGTGGCACTTTGTGGTAATCAAATATCCTCCATGTTTCCTGCTTTTCTTTCTTACTGCTATCGTCATACAATCGGCATTTTGAATACAGTAGTTCACAACGTTAGGGTGCACCCTTTTCCCTGCTGACCACATGGTATGCAGGCGCGACATTGTTGACCTTTTTCTTTGTCCTAAGACCAGAAGAGAGACCTTTTGTTGTTTGGCTGCTTGGACAATCACAAGCTCTTTTTCTTTTCCTTCTCGGATTAGTATCTCCACATGTACCTGTTTCATTCATAGGATCATGTAGTTTTAGCACCTTATTTGCATAATGAAGCATATCTTTAATGATGCATTTTATAGTGGTAACTTTGACAGTAGAATAAAATTTTATACTCACCCCTGGTCTTCTTGTTTGACACATATTTTTCATCGAGGAAAGAAGTTCATATGGTCTTTGATTGATGCCATTGCTGGTATTTCCACCTGCTTTTGTTATAAATAAACAAATAAGTTGAGTCACAAGATCTATGCTCAGTCTTGATCATAAAAACTATGTCAAGTCATCATCATCTCATGCTTTTCAATGCTGATCGAACTTATGATGGTAAGGGTACGTATTTGAATTCATCTTAGCATTCCTTCATAAAAATGTTGTGACAGAAGCGACATCCATGCCATACAACTGTCAATATGTTCATGTATTTATAGTGTTAAGATAAAATCAAACTTTTAGTCCCCTCCAGTGTCGCGTTAAGTAATCTCGGACTAAAACTAAAAGTTTGATTTTATCTTCCTCTGAAAAAGGTCTCAATTGCAGAAATGACAAACCAACCCAGAGACCAAAACTACCAATTTTCCTCTATATGCTCTTCATCCCTCCCAATGATCCCATAAAAACAGTCTATTAGAGACTGATATTTGTCCCCAGAAAGTATTTTTCAAACAAAAAAACTAGCTCTCACTATATCAAATGTTTACATTTAGAAAAATGCATGGCAGACAAGCTAAACATGATAACTTTAGCTGAAGTGTTAAACCAACAAATACATTAAAAACAGACTACAGAAAGTTTTACTGGTAGTGAGAGAGACATAGGGAAGGAAGGTGAACCTTGTTTTGATGATGGCTTGGTTACATGCAGGAGTATAACAGTATCCTGGCTCTGAACAGTGTGGGACAGCGTCCATTGCAGGGCACGTCTGGCTTCAAGGCTCTGATCAACCACAACCATCACCCGGTTATTATTCCCACATTCAGAGTCTGCCATTGTTGACTCCTCCTCCTCACTGTTGAAGCTCATCTCCGTGCTGCTTTTGCTCGAAAACTCGCCCCTCTCCTCTTCAGACCGTATCAGACTGCCTCCCGGCTTCCTCTTGTACGTCTGATGAAGTGGGGACCGCGCGGAAACGTGCGCCACGGCGCGGCGACTCACGCAGAACCCTGCGCGCATCTTTGCGTGCATACGCATGATCTTTGTCGCCATCTCCACGCAGCTATGGGATGTTTTTCTGAGAGAATTTGATCAGAAAAGTAGATGCTGGGTTTTAGTTTTTTTTTTCAGGAAAGTTTATATGGTCTTTGTTTATATTATAAGGACAACTGGCTAAGAAGAGTTTGTGTGATATTCTTTTTTTGTGTGAGGGGAGAGGATTTGATGTGTGAATGAGAAGTGAAAAAGGGCATGCAGAATCACCGACTTATATCTGTTTGTTTGTGGGATTTTTCCAAGGGATGGGCTCTCTGGTAGTTGGCATGCCCCTACCGTGAAGCTGCAAGATACTATATATATATATATTATATACCCACTAGTCAAATGAATTAAATGATCCTGGAAATTAAATTAAAGGCTTAAAGATTTTGTTGAATTTGACAATGGTTAAGGTCAGCTCTTACAATAAAGTGAATACATAACAATAATAATAATAATGATAATAATAATAATAACAATAATAATAATAATAATAATAATAATAATAATAATAATAATAATGATCATAATAATAATAATAATAATAACAATAATAATAATAATAATAATAATAATAATAATAATAATAATAATAATAATAATAATAATAATAACAACAACAACAACAATAATAATAATAATAATCATAATAATAATAATAATAATAATAATAATAACAATAATAATAATAATAATAATAATAATAATAATAATAATAATAATAATAATAATAATAATAATAATAATAATAATAATAATAATAATACAGAGAACAAGGAAGACTTAGGACGCTCATCTGCATGTTCAAGAGGGTCGAGCTATTGAATTGGGATTTAGAGTTGGGAGATGGACCAAAATAGGAGTAAAAGAGATGTCATATTTCAAAATAGGAGTTGAACTCTCCTAAATAGGAGTAATGATCTTGACTTGAATGAAGATGTTGTTCCGCTTTCATTTCCTCTCTGTTCAGTGGACAGGTCTAACGAAGATTTTGCCCCTAAATGTGATGTGAGTTGAATAAACCAAACATAAAAAATAAACTTCCTCTATGTCAATGGTAATGCATGCAGTGTGCGAACCAAAAACTCAAAACATACCATTTATTAGCTCTCCACTGGGTTTCGGCTCATTATATATATATATATATATATATATATATATATATATATATATATATATATATAGACACACACACATTTTCAATCCAATGTCAATGTACATTGCTACACTAAAATGTCCATACAATGTCAAAAAAGACTACATTAAATGCCACCTTTAGTCATATAATGGCAATGATGCCAATGTATAAAGTCATACATGCAAATGCATAATGTTAAACAAATTAAATAGATTATGACAACCTTGACATTGTATAATGACACTCTTAAAAATGTATAATGAAAGATTATCAATGCATAATGTCAAAGAGAAGTAAATGTCAAGAAATTATATTATTTGCCAACACCATAATTATTCATTTTCAATACAAATTTTACAAAAAAAATCTTAAGAAGTAAATTCACAATTAAAAAGGAATGTCACCTCTTATTTCAAATTGAACATAAAATTGAATTCAAACTTATCCATGTGGCAATTAGTACCAATTTAGTTGTTGATCGCCATGGATTCTTGATCGCAAGGAGAGTTGTTTGTGCGGCCAGGGCTAATCAAAATATATATGTAATTAATTATTTCTATTTACAAGAATTTAAGTTTGAACTCGTATTTTGAAGATATGATCCATGTTTTACTCCTATTTAGGAGGTTTTCTTTTTAGAGTTTGTTCTCCTTAACTTATTCATATTAGTTACTTCGTATTAATAATTATTATTATTGGAATTAGAATAGACAAGATTAGATCAAATTAGAAACAGCTTCAAATATAACTACAATCAGATCATATCAAAATTTATTTCAATCAAATCAGAACCAACCAGATCATGTGAAGAAAACAAGACTTGGTAATTTCATAGAAGCGAATTGGTATTGAATAAAGCAAATTAAACTCAATTGAAACACAAGAGATATGCATCAGGATATGCAATATCTACGAATTAAATTCCCCAGGAATTATTCTACAAACAATAATTAAAAATATACTGAATACTATTCGAATCAATGAATGGTTTATAGAAACATTAAAATGTCAAAGATAATTATAGCTGTGTATTATGCTGATTATTTAACAAACAATGATATTAAATTAGTCGTACTATTTAAGTCAACAACCTTAATTCCTTAGGTTCTCAAGAGAGCGACCAAAATAATTCCATACTCGTACATCGAACTCCATGTCTTGAATTAAAGAGGAGACAACCTCATAATTCTTTTTTTTTGAACGTTTTGAATCGATTACAATATAGCATATGTTTATAATTTCTACGAATTAATGATGTACACTGAGTCAATACTCTACTAGGACTCGAATTTGAGTGAACTTCCCATGAATTTTAGGGAGTGAACTTCCTATCATTCAGACAAAGGGAAAAGTTCATCGATCTCATACTATCTCCGTCCTAGAATATTTGTTCAGTTTTTACTTTTTGCATATAAAATAGTTTGACCATTAATTAAATCAATTTTATATTAGATACTGATACAAAATATTCTTATTAAATCTATCATATAAAATCTTTTAGATTTTATTCAGATTGTCTATTGAAAGTACATATATACTCAGCAACTCGTGGAGTCGTGGTCATAAAGGTGTAGCTGCTACATTTTCAAATATATGTTTCAAAGGGAAAGAAGCCCCTCTGCAAGTAATCAATCTCAAAGATTCAAAATGGTTCGATTGTCCACTTGAAATGGAGCATTAAAGTATCATGGCCAAATAGCGCCGGTACCCCTCGTGGTTTGCAAAACAAGCACCAATACCCCCCTGTTTTCAAAACTCATTTCTAAATTCTCTGTGGTTTCAAAATGCTGCACCCGTGCCCCCTCTGATCATTTTCCAGCCATTTTTCCGGCGAGGAAGGGGGCATTGGTGCATGTTTTTTAAACCATAGGGGGTATCAGTGCTGATTTTTATTTCACATATTTTTTTGTTTTTTTCCATTTTTTCCTTTTTTGTTTCATTTATTAATAAAGATTTTTTTATAATGTTTCTTAAAATTTAAATTTATTTTGTTAGAAAAAATTAAGATATAATGCATATGTACGTCTCAAATTAACAATTTTTGTTTTTTCTAAAAAAAGTAAATTTTTTTTGAGACTTCAAGAAAATGAGAAATAAAATAAGAAACAAAATAATTCAAAAATAAAAATGAATATCCTTTTTGGACATGTTAATTCTAAAGACTTTTTTAGGCGTGTCTAATTTTTTTTTGTATAAGACTTCTTTTGCGTATTTTAATTTTTTTCATTTCATTTTTCCATATTTTTATTTTTTATTCTGGATTTTTTTTGAACTTTTCAAAAAATTATTCTAAGTAACAAAAGGTGAAAATGTTTAATTTAATATAGATTTAATGTATGTTAATTTTTTTATTTTTATTTTTATTTCAAACACAGAATTTTAAATTTTTTGAAACATTATAAAAAAATTGAAAATATATTTTAAAAAAAATATAGGAAAAGGAAAAAAGAGATAGAAGATATTTTTAAAAAGGGATGAATAATAAACGAAAATAAGAAATAAGTATGAATGCCCCCTGTGGTATAGAAATTATGCGCCAATGCCCCCTTTTCGCCGGAAAATGATCGGAGGGGGTGTGGGTGCAACGTTTTGAAACCACGGGGACTTTAGAAATAAGTTTTGAAAACAGAGAAGATATTGGTGCCAATTTTCCAAACCACAGGGGGCACGGAAGCTATTTGGCCAAAGTATCATACATCAATAAATAAAAAAGAATGAATTTATAAGCTTTTGATTTGAACTAGTAATCGATTGAATTCAATCTTTTAATGTAATCTAATCCAAATGTTTTATGGCTTAATCCAGTGACCATTACCCCATCTTAAATTCTATCATGGTATGAAAGTCTTGTTGACCAAGAAGTCACAATTTGAGCCTCATCGTCACCCATATTTAAAAAATTAATGTTCATGTGCAAGATTCGAACAAAAAATAAATATCTTCTACACATGAGGGGGCGTGTTAGAGTATGTAACCTTTACTGGACCTACAACTATAAGTTTGAACTTTTAATCGAATAGATTTCTTGACAAGAAGGAATTATATGATTTCTAAAATCTATGTAAATGTTTGAATAAATCTAAAATAATGGTTGTTAGCGAGAAGCTGGGGTATAAGGACAAGGGGTGGTCAGTGACGGTGGTAGTCGTCAGGGAGGAGTGGTTGGCGGTTGACAAAGATATGAAATCTCGATTGATATCTTCTAAATTTTGGGAGATCGAAATTCCTTAATTTGAGAGGGATGTGATATTTGAAGATATCAAAAAACTGAATTCAGTTTAGACTTTTAAAACTCCTACGAAAGGATTTTAAGATCGGAGATATCAAAACCAAAACCCACACTTCTCCTGCACTCCCAAAATGGACTCTTAAACATCTCCTTTTTTTAAAGTACATCTTCTATTCACTCTTCATTTCAACAAAAAAGAAATGACTCTGATCCCTCCGTAGTTTTTAGCACATGAACCAAAATGTCGGGGGACGTAGCACGGTTGGCAAGGTAGAGGGTGCCAAAGGGTAACACCCGAGATCGATTCATGACAACTACACATGAAGGTAAATATGCTAAATATAAAGCTTTTGCAAGTACCAAATACATGCTTCTTCGTTTACCAGTCAATGTGTGATTAAAATTCAAATTACCTCCTCTCAGGTAGAGAGTGCCTGAAGAGTTCTTAGAGGGCCCGCGGGGATTAGGCTCATCCTTTTTTAGCATGGAAACCAAGATGCTGAAAATAAAGAAGAAAGTTAACTAATATACCCTTGGAGTTTTGTTTGGAGACCCTAACTTTCACACCACTTTCAACACTACTCTTCTTGGATATTCACAAACACGGATTAGCGCAGAAAATATGTGAATGTTTTATAAGAAGGTGGTGCCAAAACCGATATCAAACTTAGGGTACATTTAGCATTATTCTATGCCCTTACGAAGCATTTCTTATGTGATTTTGAGATTAGGCAAAAAGGTCAATATTGTACAGAGTATTTATTATTTTGTCAAAAGTAGAGAGGGATAAATACATTTAGACGGTCCAGAAAAATAGGCAAACACATTAGTAGCAAAAGAATAGTTACGTCAAGTTTTCAAGATATGGAACACCTTAAAACGCAGTGGGTTGTGAGACTAGATTGCTTGCCCAAAAGAGACCAATCCCCTGCTCCCATGTTAGGTAACGTCTTGCCTTTTGAGTATGGGCTGGAGAATTCTATTTTAGGCTATTACTAAATGGGACTGTACTAGTTCTCTGAATTGTTCAGCTGCATCTGCCCAAGCCAATTCATCTGCCCAAGCCAATTCAGTTAAGTTCCGCTCAACTTATTTTTTCAACTCATTTTTTATTCTAATTAAAGCCTGATCAGATCAGAAACAGCTTCAAATATAAATAACTAAATTCAGATCAGGTCAGACCAAATCTTCAAAAAATTGGATCATATCAGGCGAACGGAACTCAGCCTAAGTTGAATGGGCTATCAAATATATCGAGTATGACCGAACTTTCAACTTGGAAATAATCCAATCTTACTTAGTTTGATTCCTTTTTAGGCAACACCTGGACGAGGGAATTTCATTTGAGCCGTGTCTAAACATGTGTCGAATACACGCCCTCGACACGTGTCTAAGGCCCTGTTCAGCTCCATCTGCCCAAGCCAATACAGTTAAGTTGAATGGGGGCTATCAAACATACCTAGTAGGACTGAACTTTTGACCCGGAAATAATTCAATTGTACGCAGTCGGATTCCTTTTTAGTTTCATTTGATCCGTGTCTAAACACGTGTCGAATACGGCATTGCAGTGACACACCCTCGACACGTGTCTAAAAATGGCGAAAAAAATGAATAAATTAGGCAATAAGCAAGTCTTTTTTGGGAGAGAGAGTAGTCATTGAAATTATCATTTTAAGTGTCCTTTCTTAACTGAAATTGATGTGTCTTGTGTCTGCAACAAACAGAGTAAGTTCGAAGTCATTCAGAAATCTAATATTTGTACCTTGTTAATACAAAACATGGGTGTGGCTCAATTCCAAGTCCAAATCTCTCACATTTAAACGAACAAGCAAATGGGGTGAATTGTAGATTTACAAGTGAAACACCCAATTCAAATAAGACCACCTACTAATAATTTTAAAGTGTGAGAGAAATCCATAAAATCCAATATCTGGACAAATCCTTTAAACAATACGTGAAGTACTTAACAAGAACACTAACGTCCGTGGCTTTCACTTAAATCATAGTTAAATGATTTTTGGAGTACCTCAAAAATCCAAAAGTAGCTGGGGAAGTATCCTCTCCAAATGTGTTGCTTCAATTCTAGTAGTACCTTCTGCTTCAGCAATAGCAGCAGCACGATGTACAGCTTCTACATTAAACAGGAAATCAGTGCATTTCATAAAGAGTTTCTTTTAGACATTTGTTCCAAGCCTCAACTTTCGTCTTTCAGAGTACTCTGATTTTACATATAAAAAGAATGAATTTCTAGTAGAATAGAGCTTAAGGATGCTCTATTCCTTAAAAAAAAAAGAAGAATTTAAGGATGCTTGTAAATTCGGTCAATTTACCTACCTCTACCTAGTGGTCACTGCTCTTCAAAGGGTAAATTATGTGATTTGTTACTCAAAAAATCCAATTCAAGTAGGCAGAAATAAGAATTTTCAAAGAAACATTCCCTCAGTCCCATAAAAAAATCATGATTCACAACGGTACAACTTTTGAATTTCAGTGAGGTCCAATGACAGGAAATCATCGAACATGGAACATGGCCATGCATTATAAAGACTTGGTTGGTTTAACTAAAGTTAACACAATAAACTTGTTTCAGACACTTTTTCAATAAAAACACATGGAATATCATGAAACTTAGTTTCTTTTGTCCAAATGACTCCTTTTTTGGGGAAAAAAACAAGTTCACAAACATGATCCTTTTCTGGGACAGGGGGAGTGTCTGTATCCATTGAAAAGTAATTCTTGTTTGAAATAAAGCGATCAAACCTGCAACAAAAACTCGAAGAAGCTCGCAGCTAAGCTTCAGTGCAGCTGCATTAGCTGCACAGATCAACATAAAACACTCCCTGAGTGAACAGATTTATTAACACTGAAAAACCATTCGGAGTTGCACGCAAAAGGTAAATATGAATCAAGAACAAATTCTTTAGGCTAGCTACCCAAAGGTTTCCTTCTGAAATGCAAACAAAGATGAGACCTAAGCATAAATGCCATACAGATTGCTGCCAACCAAATTGCCAATAAATGTAAGTTATGTCTAATACGAAGAATAGTATTACAAACATAGAACCCTTTTTTAAATCTTGAGGCCAAACATTTTAGTATCCTCGAAGTCGTCTCTTGCAAAAATGCAAGGTATGATTGGCCTATATCACGCCCTTAAGGTGGGACTATTCCCCGGCTCTCACACAGTGAGGAAAATTTATGCACCGGGTAACTCTTTGTCCTTTTTTTTGGACGGTGGGAGTAACAATGATGATGATGATTGAAATAAAGCCAAGAGCCCAAGAGTGGACTGTACATTCGGCAACTGTGAATTATGCATATGTATGAGCAAAACAATCTTCCAGGAGAAACTCTAGATGCTCTAGTATGATTACTGTGACGGTTTCGAAATGTGATGCACCTTCTAACTGAGTAGATGGAGTATATACATAGTCCAATCATCACAACAGTTGACATATATGCATCAACATTCATTTTAACCATTTATTGAAGCTCTGTGTACCGGGTATCCCTTCCATTACTAATGGCATTGCAACGTTTCGAGTATAAACCCTTCATTGTGCATTACTAATTACTGTTCTCTAAGAACAATCAATTCTGCAAGGCATTTCGAGATTTCATAAGCTAGACAATTGATCCTTGTTTCAGTTCTGGAAAGAAAAGTTAAGAGAATTGGAAATAAATGGCCTGTTTCTGAAAACTAAATTTCTCACCATAAGTAGGGCGATTCCTCCTGGATGTGTTAGCTGCTCCTGTAATCTCGTTGTCCACAGATTGTGAGAGTTCATTTTTCTCGCGATCTGGACGGAAAATTCGTCGACGTTTGGGAAATAGAATTTGAAGGAAATGATAAATAAGGAAAAGGAAAAGAAAAACAGTACCTGCAGCCCGTCTTCTCCAAACGAGCTTGAAGATTTCGTGAATCAAGTCCTGTTTTATTTTACAGGCCAAAAAAACGAAAAAGGAATTGAGAATGAGACCTCTCCAAAGGGAAAGATTAAAGGAAGAACATGGTCATTAGAAAAATCACAGGATCGAACGAGAAATCCTTCTCGGTTTCCATCGAATTCGGCTCTGCGGAAGTCAGCAATGCTAGAACGAAGTTGAAGAGAGGGAGGAGAATTTGGAAAAAACTCTCAAGAGAAAAAATTAGCAAAAATGGGGACTAGTTGGAAAACTTGGAAGGGATAAGATAAAATGAGAAGTATTGAAATAAGAAAAATGCTTGGGTACACCATTTGGTGTACCCCATTTGTCCTCCACCCCCTCCATCACCACACAAAAAGGTAAGAAACTAAAACAAAATTAAATAAATAAAAATAAAATAAAATTAAATGGTGGAGAAAGGGGTGGGAGACAAATGGGGTACACCTTTGGTGTACCCCTAGCATTGCTCTTGAAATAATTATTATATTGGTGCGGTTCTAGTGATACACATGTTTAGTGACACTAGTTGTGGGGGACTTACGGTGGGGTTGAGTTAGGGGAATAGAACCGTCATTTTTTCGAACGGAGCACAGGAAGTACCCCAAAATGACAATGACACCAGAGTGCCACCGTAGTCCGGTGTTTCTAGAACTCCACTGTTATTATATTTAATAGATTTCATAATTTACTTAAATGACATATATTCTTTCTTTTTCAAATTTTCTATCTTTTTTATTTTCTTTTTTTACTTTTGCCTAGAATTATATTCCTAATATTTGTGTGACTCAGTACACACTTTTACCTTTTAATTTTTTACAATCAATATCAACCATAAGGGTCCGTTTGGTATACGGAATTGACGGAGTTGGAATTGAATTGGAATTGAATATCTATGGGATTCAATTCCATAGAATTGAATTCTACCAATTCGAATTCATTTTTTGCACTATCAATTCTAAATCCACATAATCTTTGTGCTACCAAACACCAGAATTGGAATTGAAGTCCTCAATTCCAATTTCATAGTTTGAATTCCACATACCATAGGGAGCCTAAGTATTTCGTCTCTTAATTTGCATGTCCTACATATACATGTAAGTATGTAACCAAAGTAAGAGGACAAATGAAAAAATAATTTTTATTTATCTTAATTAAAAAATAGATATAAATAATTTAACGATATCTCAACCAAACAAAAATAATCACACATTACGTTTTATATATTAAAATAATAACATGAATGATCTCAAACCAAGGATGTTTATTTTGTATTATAGATTACTTATTCCACATTATTTATTACAAAAAACTACTATTGGGTACCCTAAGTTTTATGAAAAGAACTAATGGGCACCTCTAATTTTCAAAATATACTTCCAGGTACCATACATTATGTAAAAACTTACTAAAGAGGGACTTTTCATCCCTCTTCCGTCAAATTTATTCTTCCGTCAATTGATATCATCACCATGGACTGATGGACATCATCACCACATCATCATCATCACCATCTTCCTCCTTCCTCCTCCAGTCCTCCTCGTTTTCTCCTCTTCTTCTCTTTCTTTTCTTCTTCTTCTTCTTCTCATCCTCTTCCGATCGAGATTCTAGACCCCCACCCCTCCCTTTTCCTGATCTTCTTCTTCTATTATTATTATTATTATTATTATTATTATTATTATTATTATTATTATTATTATTATTATTACAACAACAACAACTACTACTATTATTACTATGACTGTTATTATTAATATTATTTTTATTATTAATTACTTGTTTGACTACTCTAATATTTTAAAAAAATAACTCTAATTATTATTTACTTCTTCTATTATTATTACTGAGTATTATTATTTCCATCATTATTAAAAAATTAATTAGTAGCTTTGTTACCCCAAATGGTGTGTTCGATAAGCAAACAAGATATGAATTTTGATATTTCTAAATATGAGAATTCTTTTTATTGATTGGTGTAGCCAAAAGTGATACCGAATTTGATATCTTTAAATCTTATAAATCCTTCAAATGGGGGGTTTCGATATCTCCCGAATTTGGGAGATATCAATATGAGAGTTTGATATCTCTCTCAATCATTAACCATTCTCCGTCACCGGCTAACATTGTTATCGCCGACCACCCCCGCTGCCGGTCACCCCTGCTTATCATTAATTAAATCATTATTTTAAATCTCTACAAATAAATTTGTGTCAGATTTTAAAACCAATATCGTTTTCTTCTAAATTCTTAACTTATATCTTATCGTGTCTTCAAAACTCACCAATCCGGCCCGAATTTTTTAATAAAATCACACTAATTTTTATTTATTTATTTATTAAGAAGTATCATTTTTTTTCTTAATATTGTGAATTACAATTTATATTTTGAACTAATTAAATATTGGAGTAAACAATTTTAAAATTATAAATTATACATAAATAAATTACCAAAACTAATTTTTAATTAAAGACTAAAACTGTTTTACTTTTTTCATACATGTGGAGATTGCAAAAGATTAATGAGGTATAAAAAAAATTTGGTGGGAGCATGAGTGTTATTTTTATTAAAAATTAGAATAGTAAATAACTAATTAATAATAATAATAATAAATATAATAAAAATAATAAAAATAGAGATAATCTTGGGTGACCCAGAGGGTGTGCAAGTTGCAAACTGTACAGGGTCCCTAAAATTTCTAGACCCCATATTTTAAATGTGTATTATTGTTATTATTTGTTATGTTTAAATTTAATATAAATTGTTGTTTTAACATTTGAATTGTTATAAAAGTGATTATTAAAAATAAATTCGGTATTAATTTGGAAGCATAAGTACTCCAAAAAAAATAAAATAAGCCCAAAATGTTAATTTTGTACATGGTTAATTTCATTTTTTTCATTTTGAATAATAATAATAATAATAATAATAATGATAATAATAATAATAATAATAATAATAATAATAATAATAATAATAATAATAATAATAATAATAATAATGGGAGAAGAAGAATGAAAAGGGAAGGTGTGTGAACAAAGAAAAAAGGATGAAGGACGAATTGAAGATGATGGTGATGATGATGATGATGGTGGTGGTGATGATGTTGATGAAGAAAAGTGACGGAAGGAAAAACTTGACAGAAGATAGATGAAAAGTCTCTCCTTGGTAAGTTTTTGCATAATGTAACGCACCTTGTAGTATATTTTGAAAATTAGAGGTACCTGATAGTCCTTACCACAAAACTCAAGGTACCAAGCAGCAATTTTTTGTTATTTATTATGTAAATGAATGATTTAGATAAGACAAAAAATTAACTATTTTTACTAAAAAAACAATAAAAAATTTAAAACTTTTCAAATACTTTTATTTATAACAATAATATTTTTCATAACATATATTGTACGGAGTATTCAACAATATTGCGGAAGCGAAGTTAAATATTGTCATATCATAATAAATCATTTCAAGACTTGTCACATCCATCCCGACAATCTCTCCTCATCTACCGCCAAGATCACATTGTTCTTTCTGTTTACATGCATGTAGCAAATAAAACATACTACACGCTCAATGTTGAACCTGAGTAAGCATATCTAATGCGTCGAACATCCATATAAACTGACACAATCAAATCATTTGATATCATGCACACAAAGTTCAATTCAGACATTCACAATTTTGATAGTGTTCAGTTCATATCAACATATTTTATGTAATTTAGATATTATTTCGACAGTGCTCTTAAATTAATCTTAATCTAAGGCCAAATAATAACAACGCTCTTAGCTATTCCTAGTCTAAGGCCAGATCATAACAACGCTTTTAGCTATTCTTAGTCTGAGATCAGATCATAATATTTATAACCAGACTCTTAAACTATGGCTAGTTTAAAGCCATTAACAAGACTCTTAAAAATCAATTAATAATCAGAAACTTAAACTATCATTAGTCTAAGGCAATTATTTTCAAACTCTTAACTGTAGTCAGTTAAGGCATCAACATAATAGCGACTAATCAACGTCGGATTGGGGTATTCCCAAACGAGTGATCCTCTAGTTTCGTCTATTAATCCCTTTTATAAAGTTTATCCAAATCACCGAATATTCATATTTTCAGAAGTCCGTTCTAATACGAGATCTATTCTAGAGGTCTTCCAGATAGCCTTAACATCAATTATCTAAATGGGTATATGTTAGAGTCTTCTAGATATGCTTAACAATACAAATCATTTTATAATTATCAATGTATTCATTTTACTCATGGTTCAATCATAAGTAATCATTTTATTCAGTAGGTTCATCATTCATAATCATCCATAATAATCATTCATCATAACCATCAATCAAAATAACATCCAATAGCAAATAGCGGCCTAGTTTCGAGTGTTAACACTTAACCGCCTAACTTATTGTCATGCATCAGATAACATTTTATTTGTTAAAAACATCATTTTCATGGTGAAAAATCATCATTATACTATTCATAAGTAATTTGTATCAAAAATAGGATGTTAGAGCTCAAAAACAGCATTTTCGAAAGTATTTTTGGAGTAAAATTTCAGGGGATCGATCTAGCACCTTGGATCAATCCATGCTAGAGATAATTACACCCAGGGGATCGATCCACCCCCTGGATCGATCCATCCTTGCTGGTTTTCGATCACTGTTCGTCTTCTTCTTCGTTTGGGTCCAATTTTGAAAATACCATTTTTAGTTACCAAACTTCAATTAAGTTATATAGAAATGTTTTCTAAGGTTCATAGATCATTTTGGTATCATTAATTTATAGTTTTAACAACAATTTCATGGTTTATGATTCTTGGTTTTTCAAGCACGTCAAACACAAAATTCAACCAAACAACCGTTTATGAACGTAGAAACGATCTATACGAACATTCTGGTCACTAGATCTATCTACGGGCTTACCTCGAAGCTTAACGAAGGTTTTGTAAATTTTCCGGCGAAACTTCCAGCAACAATAACTACCAATAGCGGCGACATCTCAGCAAATTGACAGCACCACTGTAGTACTCTTCTCTCAACCAGGAACAGAAATGAAGAAGATTGAGGAAATATGATGGAGAAATGGGAAGTTGGCTCTTCTCCTTATATAGGGAAATGGAGAGGAAGAAGACAGCTTGTAGGTGATTTCTATGATCCTGAGATCAGCTATTGCACTAGAAGGCACCGTTCGCACAATGTCCCTGATTGGGAACAATTTTGTTTCCAGTCGGAGTTCACTTTTTGGTCCAACTTTCTCCGAACTAAATTTCGTTTTCACCGTTGGGATCAGACAATCAAACTCTATTCAACGATATAATTTTCATAATTATTTGTAATACTTTTTCCGGCATCATATTTTTGGGTGTTTGACTTTGACAGAGTCAAACTTGGTTTCGATGGGTATAACCCATTGGTACCACCCTGTAAGTTCACAGGCTCCCGGGAGGTACCGAAGTCTGATCCCACCTGACCTCACCGACCCCGGTAATCTGACCAGGTGGATGTCAGGGGTCAGACTTGTGGGATCGTGTGTTCATTCACAGAAGGCTTGAAGACTGACCGGCTTGAAGACTGAACGGGTGGTTGTCAGGGGCCAGACCTATGGGATCGTGTCTTCATTCGCAGAAGGCTTGAAGACTGACTGGCTTGAAGGTTGACCGGGTGGATGTCAGGGGTCAGACATGTGGGATCGTGTCTTCATTCGCAGAAGGCTTGGAGACTGACTGGGTTAAAGACTGACCGGGAGGATGACTTGAGATGAACAAGAGTGCTGAACAGTGTATTTTCTATTATTATAAATAGGAGTGAAAGCCTCATAAAGATAAGGGCACTAAATAATCCGCACGGCTTGTAAACTTGTAAACGGTCCCAACATTATTAATAACTAACCGGGTTACAGGTGTTCACACCTACAGCCCTTTCGCTTATTCAGACTTAGTATTCACGTTGGTTTTACTCCATCAACTTCGCGTCGGCCATGGGATCACTTTACAAAACGAAGCCATGACGAACAACAATATGAAATCCATTATTTCCCAAATTTCCACCCCAGCGGAAGACGTTACCCTGATCCCGGGAGGAATCACATCATTACCTTCTCTTTTCTCCCAAATAATCACCACCTTCACTACTCAAACAGCGCTCATATCACCCCTTTCCGGACAATTTACATCCATGTCTAGTCAACCAGTGTGCAGTCACGTCCTCCAAAACTTTGGACAATTTACGTCTATATCCCAACAACCCAGGGGATTTACTCTCTTCATCTCTGGGATGTATCCCCATACTCTGGCTCAAAATACATCTCTTCCCAACACGATGAGGCATCCCTCGTTGCTTTAACCAGCCAGTACCACCTGGTCGGCCATCCCGACATATCTGGCCGGGGAGCTGGGAAGGGCAGGTCTTTCTCAGTCTAAGAGGAGAAGATCTCACAAACTCCCCACTCAGGTCACACCCGACGGGAACGTGCACTTTGTACGCAGCAAGAATAAAGACTAGGATATTTCCAGGGGCTAGAAAAAGCTGAAGGGCAAAGCCGTCCAGCCAGAAGGTAAGGTTCATGACGGTCAGCGTTCCAGTGGCTGGGAGACGAGGGATGGAACCAGAACCGACCGGCCAAGGAGCGGTTGGGGTGAAGGTCCCCCAGCCAGGTGCATTCGACAGACTAGGAGGTGGTAGGCGACCTGGTCGGATCGGGCTCTCTGACACTCGTCTCCGTGATGAGCCTCAACACAGCAGGGTGTCTAGAGTGGAAGGCCAGGCGGAAAGACAGCGCAGAGTGGCGATCCGCACACATGCTGAACCATCCAGCAACTTGGTTTACAGGGCAGAAGAATGTTTGGAGAGGCTCTTGAAGAGAGTTCGTCGGGAAGAAAAGAAAAAGTGGTGTTGAACAACCGTTTTATCATCCGCTAAGACCGGATATGTACCGTGCTAATATTCAATAAAGTTGATATTTTTCTAAAAAGACTTCTCGCTAGACCGGTTGGGAAAGGGTTAAAGACCTATCCGCCCGGTTAATGTTCAATTGAATTGAGCATTTAAAAAAACCAACCAGCCTGGTCGAACGAATGAACCGTATGGACACGGTCAAAAAAATAACAGTTGATCTTTTTTTGAAAAGACTTCTCGCAAGACCGGTTGGGAAAGGGTTACCGACCTATCCGCCCGGTCAATGTTTGATCGAATTGAGCATTACAAAACCGCCCAGGCGAAATACCATACTTTTTCAGAAAAGATGGTAAGACCGGTCAGGGAAGGTTGCAGACCCATCTGCCCGGTCAGTGTTCAATTGAATTGAGCATTACAAAACTGCCCAGGTGGGACACTATACTTTTTCAAAAAAGATAGTAAGACCGGTCGAGGAAGGTTGTTGCAGACCCATCCACCCGGTCAGTGTTCAATCAAATTGAGCATTACAAAACCACCCGGGAAAAGGCCGGTCAAGTCCATCTTTTCCTGGGTAGGAAACCATACTTTTTTTTTAGAAAAGATGGTAAGATATTCACATTCAGGTCAAAACTTCCTGGGAAAAGGTAGACCGGGTCCATCTGTTCCCGGGCGAAACACCATTCTGTTTTAGAAAGAATGGTGAGACACATTAGACCGGGTAGATCCAGCCTGGTTGTGTCTAATTTGGCGGTGAGTCCAAACTCTCTTAAATAATGATCAGTTCAATAAAGAAAGTAACTATTCAGCAAAAAAATAAGGAAGAAAGTACTTGGGTGCATTCATAAAGTACTCAGGTGCATTCACAAACATGAAAGAAATAAACTTCATGGAGGAAAATATTCATTCAAATGATAATAAAGAGTTTTACAAGCCTGTCAAGAACTACAAAGTTTTACAAAATAGAGAAAGTGTTTACAATCTAAATCCCTTCAGGGGGGAACGGGCTCTTCATCATGGAGCTCAGAGAGAGAGAAGATCTTTGGGTCAAAGTCTTGCACTCGGCTGACAAGAATCCCATAGAGACCGCGACTCTCAAACCCGAAGGTCCCAATGTCGTTGATCAGCTATTAGGACACCCCGTGCTTGTAGAGGCCCCGGAAGAACCGGATGCATACGTAGCTCATGCACCTAAGATTTTTGCATGGAATATGGGAGCTCTTGGAGCAGCCGGTCATCCAGCCATACGTAGCCCTCCTCAATGGTCTGGGCTACAGTGACTGTCCAGGCCGCAGAAGAGGAAGGGGAAGAGGTGGCAGCGTCAACCGACTTCACCTGTTTAGGGGAAGCCAGGTGCTGACTTGACTCAGAACTGGAGGAAGAGGACTGGGAACCAGAGGGCTGAGACCGGGTGTAAGCTGACATGGTGGGAGATGGAAGCAAAAAGAGGAAAAAAAAGTTTTACTTGTACCATAGAAGAAGGGGGGAATAAAGCTGCATCCACAAACAATTTGAAAGCTCCTGATCTTACCGGCCTAGGAGATGGTAAAGGCAGCCCAACCACCCGACTAGAAGCACTCCGCTGCAAGTCTGACCGAGAGGTTGTCTGCACCACCTCTCGAAACCAGGCATGAGCCGAAGTGCTCCCTTCACGAATAACACGCAAACCCAACCGGGCCCAAATTGTCACTGCATAAGGACATTGAAGGAATAAATGCTCAACCGTCTCCTCACCCAAACCACAAATAGGACATACATTCACAATGTTAAGTCCCTTAGTGTTAAGGTTAGAGATGGTTGGCAAAATATTTTTGATAGCTCGCCATAGACAAACCTTGATTTTTGGTGCAACTGGGATATGCCAACAACGTGTCCAGTTCACCTCATTTGCTGCCGCTTCAACCTCTCCAACATGCCTCCTATAGCCATCCTTAACACTGTAGCCTCCATGCAAAGTACCAGCCCAGAACCACCCATCCTCGTGTGAAGCAGAGAAAGGGGCTCTCAAAATTCTGTCCGCAACTGTCGGAGGAAACCACTGCCGCACCACCTCCATTCTCCAACAATTGCTTCCCTCATCAATAAGGAAGTGTACCGGCATGTTTGGCATAAACGGTGGTGGTGATGAATCCACAACTGAACTACCATGACTCGCCATCCAAAGAGGACCCCAAATCAGAGTTTTCCTCCCATCTCCAATTCGTCGCCTAACTCCAGCTCTTAGTAGATCTTGGGCTGCAAGGATGCTCCGCCAACAGTAGCTCGGGTTAGAGCATAACCCCGCCTCATACTATTCGATTATTCGTTAACTAGCTCCATCAAAAATATGAATTTCTCACCCGCTTCTTGTGTTGTGGATTTGCATGATTTATTTTCAAATTTGTTAATTTTTTCCATATCTATTGTATATATTATTTTGTGTTACCAAACAAAGACTTTGAAATTATAATACTCCAAATATTTTCTATTGGAGTACAATTCTATAGGAGTACAATTAAGAATTTGAAATTTCGTGTTATCTATTGGAGTACAATTCTATATTAGTTGCTTAATTATACCAAATAAAGGATTTAAAATTAAATTAGAATTTCAATTTCATTTCAATTTTAATTTTGTATAGCAAACAGAGCCTTAGAAAAATGAGTATTGTTCTATTTATACTCATTCTAACCTATAACTAATTAATGGATTAAAATCCATCACCCCCTCTCTCTCATAAAATTACAATTACCAAATTATTTTAATTTAAAATTGGTATAGTCAACCAAATTCAACTTTGATCTATAATTAAATAAAAAGTATATAGTATATTAATTAGCTAAAAACAAAATTCGCAAATATTATATAAAATAATTTCAATAAATTTATTTTTAGATCAATATTTATTACGGAGTAATTAATAGTCAATGTTTGTTAACTTTAAATGTTAAAAAGTAAAAACTAGATTAGTACTCAAATAGGATTCTAGCATTTCAATAGTAATAAAAACAAAATGAAAGCTAATTAAAATATTTTATTTTATCAAATAGCCAATGCAAATAAATAAATAAAAATTATTGAAGAAAAAATAATAATTGGAGACAATGGAACGAGAGAGTATCGCCAATAAAGAGATGACAAGTCATGAGTAAGCGGAGGTGGATAGAGTACGGAGTATTTTTATTCTTCCGCAAAGATGGGCGCCCCGGGGGGCCCAACCCCGCCCCACAGCTTTCCAAACCTCCCAGCAAAAAATATGTGGCCTCAAAAGGGACACTTAAGTCCCCCACCCCTTCCCACCAATCAGCAGTCGAAAACAAATGCTCCCCAAACCACCCCGGTTTCGTCCAAAACAACCTTATCCCCCACAAAAGAAAAAACCCTGTCCCCATCTCAGTTTCTCCACAAACTCCGTCTCCACTCCTAGTCATGGCCCGGCCCAGGGTTCGAGTAGGGTTAACTTACATGAATTTTTTTTAAGAATAATTTTAAGTGCAATTTATATTTTCAAAATCTATTATATAATTATTAATAATACATTTTAATTGTGTTATTTTAAGTTATTTGAATATTTGAGCAAAAATTAAGTACTCATAACGATATTAAAATTCTTTCATATTCCGACATTTTTAGTTGAACATTGAGATTTATTGACGATAAATTATACATAATCTAAATAAATAAATGATATAAAAATTAGATACATCAAAATTATATCCTAAAATGAATCCAATTAGATTGAATTTATTATATAATTAGATATATTTTTCTTACAATTTATAGTTAAAGAGTGTTACTGTTCACCAAAAAAGTCAAAATATGAATCCTTTTTAGGACCGGAGTGAGAAATTTCGTGTTTGCAAAAAAATTGGTTATTACTTATTAGCTACCCCTGCTATGTGTATTAGCTTTAATATTAGCTTTATCCAATGTGATAGTTCCTTTTGAGTACCGAAAACAGGACAGTCTCCTGAAGTTAGGATTGTACTGTGATTTACCCCACACTACTCTATCAGTTCGGGGTGGACGTTCCAACTCAAATTCCCGACCATATACTCCCCAAACAAAAGTCCTAAGACGTCAGAACCAAGTTTATTTTAATACTATGTTTGGTTCAAGGATTTTGGTAGGGAAAGAAAAAAATGATTTTTCTTCATTTTCCTTACTAAAAGTCTAAAACGGGAGGAATTTGAATTTCTTTCCTCTTAGTACATTTTGCTTTCTCATTTTCTTTTCCATCCACTTTCATTTTCATTTCCTCTCTAACCAAACATGAAAAATGTTTTCCTTTTCATTTTCTTTTCGTTTCCATCTCAAATTCCTTGAACCAAATAATCTAACATTATGTTTGGTTCAAGGAATTTGGAAGAAAAAGAAAAGAAAATGGTTTTTCTCTCATTTTCCTCACCAAAATGGAAGGAATTTGGTTTTCCCCCCACTTGGTACATTTTGCCTTTTCATTTTCTTTTCCTTCCACTTTTCCTTTCTTTTCCCATCTAACCAAACAAGAAAAACTGTTTTCCACTTCATTTTCTTTTCTTTTCCTTTCAAATTCCTTGAACCAAACATAGTGTAAAAGTTTGATTATATGGATAGAATTTGCTTCCAGAAGAAAGAAATGTTATTAGTCCCTCATCCATTTCCCTTTATGGAAATAAAATATGTCAAAAGTTTATTTTAGAACATATATTTTTTTCTTTTAACTTTTTACATTCTCCAACACAACATTCTGACCATTAGGTATATTACTTATATATAGATATGAAGTACTCCATCTGTCCCTAAAAATTCAACTTTTATTGACTTTTTTAGAATTTATTAAGGAAAGGATAATTTTTGTGTTGACTTTCCAAAAATACACTTAATGTGATGCATAGATTATAGGTAAAAAGATATAATGTTATAGGTAGAGTAAGAATTAGTAGGACTAAAAGTGGAGATTAAAACATTCATTTTTCCTTTCTTTTTTCATCCGTCTCAAAAAAATTAAAAATTCACTTTTATCTCCACTAATCTTAACATACCTATCACATCAGATCATACTTTTCCATTGTTAATCTATCCATCACATCTACTTTTATTCATCACTCTCAGGAGCATTTTTGGAAAGCCAACACCAAAATACACTCTTTTAAATCTTTTAAAAGTCAAAACGAGAAAAGTTTTATGTGACGGAAAGAGTATTTCAAAAATATGATTTTCCTAATATAACGAATCTATTAATATTAAATTTTTATGATAATTGAAGAATTATGAATTTCCTTGAACAATAATGTGGGAGTACATGTGTTTATATACACAAGCTATTCCTAATTCTAATCATGGTAGGATTCTACAATAGGAAACAATATACATACAATAAATATAGAATATATATTTAACATAAATATAAAATATATTTAACAATAATTTAAAACTTCCTATTATGGTCAAAATTTCACCAAGTCAAATTAGAAAAAAAAAATTTTGGACAAAGAAAGCAAAAAAAAAAAAAGTGGGAATTTTTTAATTTTAAATGCGTACAAAAAAGTGGTGCAGTGTATATATACACACATATATGGTCTGATTGTGAGGAGACCAGGCAGAGCATCTGCTGCTGGTTCAATCTGCGAATAAAGCTAAGAAGAAGGGAAAAAATGGGGAGAGGGAGAGTGGAGCTGAAGAGGATAGAGAACAAGATAAACCGGCAGGTGACCTTCTCGAAACGCCGGTCCGGTCTGATCAAGAAAGCCAACGAGATTTCGGTTCTCTGCGACGCCGAAGTCGCCCTCATCGTCTTCTCCACTAAGGGAAAGCTCTTTGAATACGCCTCTGATTCTTGGTATGTATGTCCTCTCTCTCTCTCTCTACTTAGATTTGATTTTTTTTTGTGTTTTTTTTTAAATTAAAGATTTAATTTCTTATTGGTTTCCTGTCGATCTTTCAGCTATGTGTTCTGATTCTTGCTGGGATTTTGATTATTCAAAAAAAAATCAAAGAAACTATATGTTGGTTTTTGAAACTAATAATAATTTTTTTTGATTATTCAAAAAAAAAAGCTAATAAGTTTTTTTTTTTGTTGATGATGATCGGATTTCATTTGAAGGATTAAAATTGAGAAAGAAAAATTTAATAATTCTCTTTTCTTTTGTGTGATCTGTCTTGATTTGATTTGCCGGTATATATATGCTTTGGTTCTTGCTTCGATTTTGATGTAAAATGTTAAATATTTACTCACTATTAATTAAAATACTCCATCCGTTCATAAATTTAATTTCTTTCTATTCCATTTCTCTCGATTACACTTTGCCCATTAATTTCTATATTTATATAAAAATATAATGTTTCAAAATAAATATTTTGATCGATATTAGTTTTATATTATAATTATATAATGTGTTTTTTGTGTAATTTGTGATCAAAGGTTCAAAATTTTGACCTAAAAAAGTAAACTGAGAAATAAATTTATGGACGGAAGATGTAACATAGTGTATGTTTTTATCTTCTAAATAATTAAGTTATATTTTGATATATGTGTTTACATATTACAGAGAGCAGAGCGTAATATATACGGAGTATCATATATTTTGGTTTAAAAGATTGAAAATTCTAAGAGGTCTTTTTCACTCATGTTTTGTTAGTTCTTTCATTATACTCCCTCCATCTCACAAAATAATTTCATTTTAATTTTTTCGAGCATCCCATGAAACACTTTTATTTAGGTAAAATGTCTAAAATACCCTCAGAATAACTTTTATCGCAATAAACTACACAATGAAGGTGTATTTTAGACATTTTAAGTAAGGTATATATGTTTATTAGGGCGAAAATATTTTGTGAAGCGGACGGAGTAATTTTTAAAAAATGGGCTAGTTTTTATTAGGAGTATCATGAAAGATTAAAGCAGTAACTTTTTGTTGTTTAGAAAGTGACGGTAATTAATTACTGCGTTTAGTTTCTTTGATAGTCATTATTATAGTGTCTGTTTGTAGTACGTAGTGGATCAGCATAAGGTACAATTGGTGCAGTTTTTTTTAATATCTCATGTACTATATGAACAATTAAAAAAAAGATAAAAAATGCTTCTTTTTAACCTGTAATTCAGATTTTGACTTATGTGCCTTTCTTTTTACTATTTTTAAGCCACTAGTTACTCTCATTCTTAAACCTTAACTTTCTTTTTACATCCAGTTAAGAATCATCGTCTCGATCTTGTCAAAAAGGGCGGCTTAATATTTAATTTAAAGTTTTGGGGATATTATTTTTTTTAAATAAAAGCCTAATTCTGCTTTCTTTTTTAAGTAAAAACCTAATTTTTGGACGTATTTTTTTACACTTGTCTACCTCCGGTCCTCTTCGAATGGTTCTGGACCCTAAACCCTAATTTCTACACAAATACTCCCTTTTGACTTGGCACGAAAATCAGAAAAAATTAAAAGTGTAATGAATTTTCATGTGTTGCCCTTGACCTAATAAAATAAAGTGAATAGTGTAGAAAAAAAAGTAAGAGTATAATGGCACATTCATTAAAAGTTTTTTTGTCAAAATAG